ATATATATATATATATATATATATATATTAAGCTTATTTTTTTTTTTCCAAGAGCATTCAGTTGTGGCCAAGTAAAAGAACTGCAGCAGACTAAAGTAAAACAAGTTATATTTACCAATTACCATCCCACTCTAGTTCACAGTCACTGTTTTTAGTATAAAATTGTTGATTAATTAAATATGATAATGAATAAACAATAAAACATAAACACTTAACAGTTTGATTAGAAAATAAATACAGACCTTCAACTATGACCAAAAGTTATCAGAGTATGTTATTATCAGTCTCATTTTTTTTATTAACAACATTTCTGATTAATTAAACATACACGGGGTGGGGTGGAGGGTGTAGTTATACCAGTGCACATTTTTCAACATCATTCTACAATAAAACTTCTCATGTCATGTACTATGTATTCAGTACATTTTATTGAAGCAACAAAGACACAAATGCACTTCCCGTTCTACACCATAATAGTCTGATCAAAAAACAGAAACTGCTTTGTATAATATTTGAGTTGTTTTTTTTATTACAACCTTCGTTTAAGTAATGAACATTATGCAAGTCAAAAGACCAAATTTACCATGTAAGTGACATTTAATGTGATTACTATTCAAACACTTTCAAATGATTTCTGTTCACGAGGCAAAATCTGACACTGTTTGAATGCCGCTCGATGACTTGTGAATGTTTAGATCTTAGAATTTCCAATGAACAAAACTTCAAAGATAGCGTTGCTTTACAACGATGATCAGCAATGAAAATACCATTTGGTGTTAGAGCAGGCAACCAACTGGATTATCTACGAGCATTGATTATTGTCACAAAAATTAATAAACTCAATAAGATTTAATTTCCAACATTTATCGCTGGTGTTAATAAAAGACTAACCGATTCAATTGTTACTGATTGTGTGCCTTATTGGTCAGTACGCCTTTGCTTTTTCTTACTTACATTAATGATACTGATAACCTAGGAACATAATTAGTATGTAAGAATATTGTGCTGGTGAATAAAGCTCAGACTTCCACCTATAGTAATGATGTTGATGCACCATAAAATGACTTGGATCAGACTTCCACCTATACTAATGATGTTAATGCACTATAGAATGACTTGGATCAGACTTCCACCTATATTAATGATGTTGATGCACCATAAAATGACTTGGATCAGACTTCCACCTATATTAATGATGTTAATGCACTATAGAATGACTTGGATCAGACTTCCACCTATATTAATGATGTTGATGCACCATAAAATGACTTGGATCAGACTTCCACCTATAGTAATGATGTTGATGCACCATAAAATGACTTGGATCAGACTTCCACCTACATTAATGATGTTGATGCATCATAAAATGACTTGGATCAGACTTCCACCTATATTAATGATGTTGATGCACTACAGAATGACTTAGATCAATTGGCAAGTTGGACAAGTACTTGGGGTACTATGATTTGGTTCACACATTTCATACATATGGGTACCCACATAAGAGTGTGACTGAAGAAAAGGATCTTGGCACAGTGGAAGATAAGTCACTCAAGCATTTATTGACATACTGATTCAAAGTTAAAATTACCTCTTTATAAAAATCCTTAGTTAGAACAAACTTGGAGTATTGTGTTTAGTTTTGGTCTTATCTAAGAAAGGATACTGATTTACCAGAAAGTATTTAATGTTACTATGCTGATTCCACAGATGGAGAGGTGGTTGTAAGGAGATAAAAAAAACCAAAAGATAAGACATGATCACTTCATGTATACTATATTATTTCGAAGATCAATAAGATAAATGCTTCTATTTATACTGGATCAAAAGATGATGACACAAGTTAATTTGGCTATGCTCCAATTAAGGCATTTCTATTTTTCTGTCATAGTGATTAGTTTATAATATAAGCTGCCACAGGGGAAGCAGTGGAGGTCAGTATGTTATAAGAATTAGAAAAAATATTTCCACGAGTAGTACTGGATGTGTAAGAACAGCCTTGTTGTCTGTAGGTTAATGTCCAGGAATGTCCAAATGTCTGACATTCAGAAACCAGCAATAAATCCTATGTGCCAAAATAGTAGGTTAACTCAGTGAGGGGCAAGAAGGTCAAACCCACCTTATACCAAGCAAATCTGTGACCCAAATTTTAATTTTGTGCAAGTTGCAAATTGAAGATGAAAACAAAATACATGTGCTGCTTTTTTGTTCAGTTTAATGTTTCTCAGCCACATCTCATAAACCAAGGATTTACTTTACAATTTACAAGTTTATTGACTAACAACACAAATACATCTTAACAGAATTATGTCAACTTGTACTTCCTGGTGTTCCAATATATATATATTGTAAATTCTAATGCTTTAATAATTTTTTCTGTGAAGTTTAATTATATTACAAATATTATTTAATGTATCAAAAAGCACACATATTTAATGAAAAAAAAATTACTAAAACATTCTCAGATGCTAAGCAACTTTTTTTTTTCAGTTACTAGAGATCTGCTGGCCAGGATTTGGCAAGCTCTGGTTATATTATTATATTAGTATTTTGATTTAGTTTTTAACTGTAAAGAAGTTTTTTTTTTAATCAGTAATAACTGGCAATTTCTTCATGTATCTCAACACATATTGAAACATTTTCGTAAAATACACTCGACCAAATGTTTTTGTAGCCACACTCATTTTTGAATCTTTTTTAAGTTGTAAAATTATGCATTGGCTCACAATTGTTAACAAATCTTATACTATGACCAGTTAAGTAATATGCTTTGAAACTACCAGCTCTATTGAACTTCAGCCCAATTAGGTTAAAAGTAGACAATAAAAATAAGACAGAAAGCCATGTGACCTATAGATGTCAATCTTCCTTAAAAAATAACCAGTGCAAACTAATGAGTATATTTAATATAACAAAACAAGCTACGTTTTCAGGATAAACACTCGAGTGTATAGTTCATAAAAGAAATAATTTGTTAAAGTGAAAGAAACATTAAATCCAAGCATCTTAAATCATCTCGGCTCTAGGTAAGTGGCTTCATGCTTCATTGAAATAAGTTCCAGTTTTAAAGCTTCTCTTCCTGTTTATACATTCTCTGTCACATATCTATTTCTTATGCACCATAGGAAACCAAAACTGCATATGTATTAAAATATAAATGAGGCCTTGCTACCACATCTTACATAAGAATACAATGACTTATTTCCCTTAAAAACAAAGTTTTCTATAAATATTCACCAGAATATTATTATTATTATTAGATATTTTCATAACATACAAAGATTCAACTGAAGGTTTTCAAGCAGTTTTAAATAATCACACATAATTCCTTTCCTTTATAATCACATTTCTCTTCACCAAACAGCCCTTCTCAAATTTCCAAATCCACAGCATCAGTGCAAATATTAATTTATTTTCCACATTCTCACCCACTGAGATCCTTCTAAATTAAAAATTCCGCCAAATCAGTTCTTTCCCATTATAATTATCACCCAAATAATAAAACATAAAGTGTATGGCTACGCATCTCACAAATTACTGAGTGAAAAATGTATAAAAATATGCATGGACTATCCTATATCATTATAATTTATATGTTAACCATTTCTTTAATTGCGATTATGTTTTACCACTGAGAACAGTTTTTATACATCCATTAACCTAAGTTATGAGCTGTGGAAAACAGTCTGTGCAGCATTTTATAAGCTCTTAGTCTTAGTTAATATGGAAAGTATGTGAATCAACTCAACTGCATACTACACATCAAAATTCATATCTTGATTAAAAAAAAACGTTAGGAAATTCCAGTGTAAATTTCAGAACATAAGAATTCATTTTTCAGTCTTATAGATAGGTTAGTTTACATACGCTGGACTGGAAACATCCTGGCTCCTCCAGAAGATCGAATTTAAGTAACAGTGACAACTTCTAAGTCTAACCACCCAACAACTTATCAAATACGTCTATGCTGTGTGCCTTAAATTTCCAATATGGCTACCAACTGACGTCAAGGAAATTTAACCTCGCTGGCAGTCAGTCCATCGTACGTAAACCATACATAAAGTTTTTTCGGGAATTAGTTTTACATCTTACTAATATTTATTTTATAACTGGAGGAAAGTGCAGTTACCTACGAATACAGTACGAACAAAAATATTTATGAAAATGTAAGTCCTTTACTCACTACTAATAGCCTAAAATTAATGTTTTCGTGAGGAAAAGAAATCAACC